CACGGCAAAATCCAGACGGCCGGGTTTCAAGGCGCCCCGGGTTTTATAGCGCTCACAGGGGCTTCCCGCCGTGGAACGCTGCCCAGGACCGCGCACACGCTCCGGAGCAATGCCAACAGCTGCTCAGCGGGGGGCGCAGTGTTTCCCTTGAGCTTACGTGACCTAGAAAGGGCTTTCGGGGCTGACAGCTTAGATGCGTTTCACGTGTCCGGAAAATAAGGCCGGGGCTTACCGCGCGGGTCGTTTCCAAGGAGCCAAGTAAACAGCCACGGAAAACCGGCCGGCGGTGCGCGGAGGACGCCTTCGCCGCCCAGCCAGCAGGAGGCGCTGTCCTCGGCGTGCTCCAGGGAGCGTGCAGCGGGCACGCGGGGGCAGTGGCAGCCGGGCGGCAGGCCCCTGGGCCGGCCGGGAGGTGACCACAGGACTCCCTGCCCCGCCGGCGCGTGGCACGGGCTATCCGAAGCGCAGTGGCCACTGCACGCCTGCCCAGTGGTCAGACCACAGGGCTGGAGTGGGGAGGGGCCACTGGCCGCTGGGGTCTTGGGACCGCCCCCCGCGGCTCCAGGGGGTCCCAGGTGCAAGACCCGCCCCCACCCCACACCCGCCCTCGCCGTCTGCGCGTGTCTGTGTGTGTGAATGGGGGGGCTCCCGACTTGCCGGCCAGCGTGTGCCGGGGCGGGCTGAGGATGCTCCAGAGCCCCCCACGGCAGCTTGTCACCGCGGGGCTGATGGGGGGACACAGCCGAGTCCCAGCCAAAGGGGCGGGGAGAGGCAGCGCCCTCCTGGGGCAGAGGGGGCGCCGCCACGGCCCGGCTGGCCCCACCCCGGGCTCTGGGCCTGAACCTCCTCGCTGGCTGCGCAGATTCAGGGGCTCCCAGACAAGCACAGGGTCTCGCGCCCGTGGGGGGCTGCTTCACCGACGCTCCCTGTGAACCGAGGTTGTGCAGACGTGGCGGCACGGGGAGACACACGGCCTCTGCCGCCTCCACACACGCTGACCACGCTGACCGCCACTCGCGCCGCGGCCAGGCGCCTGCCCTCCCCTCCCCTGGGCTCACACCTGGGCTGCTCTGGATTCCTGAGGGAGACCCAGGCAGGCAGCCGGCTCCACCCGGGACTCGTCACACCTGCCCGGCCGTGGACACAGTAGCCGAGAGCACGGTGGTCGGTCGGTGGCCGTTCCCAAGTTTGGCTCCGTTTCCCAGAAAGCCTCCCCGAGACCCCGCGCGGCCCAGCCTCCTGGGGAGCGTGACCCCCACGGTGGCAGCTGGGGATCGCGCCTGGCTCTAGGTCAGCTGCGGGAGCTGCTGCCTGCAGTCCCAGGGAGCTGGGGGCACAGGGCGGGAGCCCCAGGGACCAGGCCCCTCCCCGAGGGCGGGGGACACCCAGGCTCGGGGGCAGGCCCCGCCGGCCTCCCAACAGCAGCCGATCCTGCCTCTGCCCTTTAAAGGAAGGGGTGAAAAAGCAGGGGGCTCTGTGGCGGGAAGTGGGGCGCACAGCAAACATTAGGCTCACGAGATGTGAAGTGGACACGCGAACAGCAAGGCCACGCGCGACCCACAACCCCAACGGGAGCCGACACAGCCCACAGCGGAGGGAATCACTGCCCCCCACCCACAGGGACAGCGCCGCGCCAGCTGGGCCTGGGGGTCGGGCCCACCGCCCCGAACCCCACAGGAATCCAGGGCTGCCCGTCACCCTGCTTCTCCCTGAGACTTGCCAGGACACCAGTGGTTCTGGGTGCAGACACACAGGGGCGGGGGCATCATCCCATCGGAGATGCCCGCGCCCTGGCCCGTGACCCTCGTGGAGGGGTGGCATGAAGACGAGGGCCCACGCGGGCGGGGGGACCCACACCCAGTGACGGGGTCCTGTGAGAAGAGGGACATCTGCCAAGGCGCAGACGCAGCGAGGACAGCAGGGGTCCCCAGGAAAAGGGGAGGCTCCAGGTTCCCGGCCCCGCCCGGAGGGTGGAGCTGAGCGAGGAACAGAGAAGAAGGAGGAGGCAGGATGGAGCCCGCGGAGGCCTGAGGGAGCCGCAGGGCGCGAGCGATGGAGACCCCGAGCTTGCTCCTGGCCCCGACGGGCTCAGGCGGCCGCGGGAGAGGCCCGGGGAGCCGGCTGAGGCGGGTCACGCTGACTGTGGTTGCGCTCGGCCCCCCCAGGCTGGTCTGGCCACGGCTGACCCTGTCCCGCGGTCCAGCCAGAAGGTGCTGCCGCCCTGGGGCGGCGTCCAGGCCCGGCTCCGGGCCGTCCCTCTGCCTCTGGGTGGGCTTCTGCCCACGAGGGGACGGGTCACTACGGTGTCTGATGTGGACATCACGTTGCCTTCCGCTCTGTGCGCTCACTTTGCGTCGAAGTCTTCTATGTTCTGTCTTGATGCGGCGGATGGCAGGACCCACTGAGAGCAGGCAGGTTGGGGGGTCAGGGGTGCCCCTCTCTCCCTGCGCTGTAACAGGACCAGGCAGATGTGGCTGCGGCGACGCCAGCGGGGGACAGGCGCGAACACCCAGCTCGAAGGAGCAACCCCAGGACACCGGGACTTCGAGTCAGAGCTGAGAGTACAGGTTGTGGCCTCACCAGTCACAGCAAAGCACTCAGGTCCACACGCCCTCGAGCCACCGCGCGGTCACCGGGCCAGCGCCCGCCCCCACACATCCGCCTGCACCCCGTGGCTGGGCGGCGCAGGGGCAGTTCACGCCTTGCTGACTCCGCAGACTCAGTCTCCGCAGACACTCGCGACACACACCGCCCTCGTTCACGTGGCACCTTCCACACCACCCAAACCCGGCGCGTGGGCGCCCAAGCCCTCTGCGCCCAGAGTGAAGTGCCAGCCAGGAGGTGCCACACGGCGAACACAGGCGTGGCCTCATGTCTGCTTGCTTCCATCTGGCCCAGGGCCTGGGGGTGCGGGTGGGGGGCAGGAGCAGCTGCACAGAGGCAGCCCCACAGCCACACCCCTGCCCCACGCAGGCCAGGCCCAGGGCGCCGGCACAGAGCGGAGCGTGGGTGCGCGTGGGCCCGCCAGTGTCCGCAGGCGGCACAGACACGCACCGCCCCCAGCACGCGGCGCAGGCCGAGGGGCTGGGGCTGCGCTGGCCTCGCCGTCCTCGAGCAAAGCCCGGGGCCTTCCCCTGGACGCCCCGCCACCCAGGCAACAGCACGGCCGCTCCGGAACATTCTCGGGTGGAGCTGCCCAAGGACGGACGCGGGCAGGTGACAGAGACCAGGCCCAGGGCCGAAGTGGGGCCAGAGGGGGCGCTGGGCCCAGAAGGGGCAGGGGAGATGCTGGAAGCAGGGCTGGCCGGGAACAGGCCCCTGTCCTCACGACACCCCCGCAGCGGGACCCTGAGTGCGCCCCGGGTGCTCTGAGCCCACAGCAGCCCCAGGACAGCCCCATGGACCGAGAGTCTGGGGTCAGGCAGGTGGTGAGCCCCCGGCACGGGAGATGGGCCACAGATGCCCTCCTGCAGTCGGGGTGGTGGCGCAGCGCCGCTCTGTGGGAGAAGAAAGGGGTGACGGCCCTCACCCCCCGTGAAGGAGCCCCTCTTGAAATCCCACCGAGACGGTACGTTTCAACAGGGCGAAACGAGCAAAAGGACAAAACCGGGGTGCAGCCATCACAGCTGGGGTCACCCCCATGGGAGCGACTGCTTCGGAGGGGTGCGCGCTGGAGAGAAACGCCTTCCCGGAGCCAACCCCAGCGCCGCTGGCACAAAAGCAGGGCCCAGGGGCACAGGGCGGACTGGCAGGGCCCGCGGGGGAAGCCGCAGAGGTCCAGGAGGACAGCGCTAGCCCTGGGCGGGAGCAGCTGGGCGGGAGCAGCCCTGGGCGGGAGCAGCCCTGGGCGGGAGCAG